ACTACTAATCTCTTTGGATATCTGGTGTAAGACATATGCTTCTTCCGCTAAGCTTTTTGGATATCAGGTGTAAGACATATGCTTCTACAACTATAATCTTCTTGGGTATCTGGTGTAAGATATGCTCCTAATACTAATCTTCCTGGATATCTAGTCTAAGAATTATGCTTCTATTACTACTTTCTCTGAATATCTAGTGTAAGACATATGCTCCTACTATAATCTCTGGATATTTCAGTGTAAGACGTATGATCCTACTACTATTCTCCTTGAATATCTAGTGTAGAAATGTGTAAATTAACATAAATTAAGCTAAGCAGTACCTGTATTGGGTCTTCTTGGATGAGCTTGTATTTGTTCCAACAGATTCATTATTTGAATTTTGCCTATGTATAGATTCAGAAAAGATATCATGGCATGTATCTTCGGTTCAATCATCAATGGAACACTGACACAGTTATCTTTATGATTGTATGATAACTAAATTTTATGGGAAAAAAACTATTACAAACAACCTGATATATATTGATGTAATATAGAAACTTTCTATCAAGGCTAGACAGAAATTAATAAGCTCTGAGGATACTAACCTATATCCTTAATGACATCCACGAAATCTTGTTCAACAATCACTATATCCAAAGCTCGTTCTCTAACATCTCCAGTAACTTCATCTGTCAGAAGAAGGTCTCTCAGCTTGGATGCAGTTTTACCCTTTTTGATATCATCCAGTAATGTGTTTCTATCTTCTATGGTTCCAAGATGAGCATGTATAATCACACACCCATAAAATATCTTCAGTTCAGTGCTGTGTAAGATAGTCCTTAGTTGATGGTACTTTTCGTTCCTGCATTCCTGGTGTTCATGTAGCAAATTTAATATTCTTGAAGAAAGTCTGACATTAGTATTTAGTACAATGCGCACTGCCAACAAAATAAAACAAATGTCATAAATACAAATTGGGTAATAAAATAACAATATTAAACACAAATATTAAATATTCAATTTAAATGTATTCAACTTAAATTTGGAAGAAGAATGGAAGTTCCAAAAAGTACTGATCCATATTAATGACATCCAGTGTTTGTCCCACAAACTCCAGGTCAATAGAAAAAGGCATCCAGCTCTTGTCCAATACACTGCTGGACACGCATCCAGTGTCAATCAGTGCAAATGAACACTCAAAAGCTGGTTGTCTTTAATATGAACACATAGTTTATTGCCAAACAGCCAGATTATTGACCAAACACAGGGAACTATTATTATTCAATAATACATTGACATTACTATTGATGTCAGTATTATGGTGCAATCAGATCAAACCTCCAAAAAATATTTTTTTTTTTAAACTTACCAGAGTTTTTCATTCGGGTATGTGATTTTAATTTCAGTTCTTCATAGTCTTGTCTAGTGGTCGCATTGGATTCTCCAGCAAGATAGAACATCCCACCTGTTGGAACCACCAGATGGTGACCATAACATTCTGCAGACAACATTATAGTTGAGACTAAAATGAGAATGAAATAAATCATGTAGATGTTACAAACTGTGTGTCTGTTATAGAGAGTAACGAGATCCTCAGAAACTTGTGACTTGTGACTTGTGACTGCTATATCTTATAGTACTACTAGTTTGTTGTACATGTAACAGACTACCACTGAAAGATAGGAACCAACAGGTTGTACAGGGAAAATGTATTTGTATTATGCACAACAGGATATCGAAAATGGACATACAATAATATGGTTAATGGGAACATAGTGTAGATGGAGTGCAGCATAACTGGATACAAATTTAGTTTATATTTTTACCTTTTGCTCTGTTAGTATTGCCCTCAGTTGTTGGGTGTGCTATGGGATCTTCATGTACTAGTGACAAACATAATGGCTGTAATGGTGGAGAGTCACAAACAAGATCAGTATCCCGTGATTCATTTGTGTTTTCATCAATGAGTTGGCCTGGTAACAGATCTTCAGATTCGTGAGGTGCCCCTCCTACAAGGTGGTGCAATGTGTGGTTACCGTTATTCCGGGTAATTAGTGTAGCATCACCTGGAGTAGAAATTTGTCGTTGGTTGTTTTGACTTGTTGGTTGCGCGCTTAATAATACTTTCAATAAATCTCTGTGATGTTCATCTTGTTGCAACTGCATTTGAGTTAACTGCAGCTGCAGTTGTGCAACATTTTCTTCCAATTTGTAGAGCCTGGTGTTATTTTTATTGGCACTTGTATCAACATCATCTAATTTGGCGGGAATACTGCCCATGCTTTGTTCATCCAACCGACTGTTTTGTGTATTGGAAATCATTTGTAACATTTCTCTGCAGGCCTGAATAGATTCCTGTTGACAGGAACATTTTTCCATCACACTGTTCATGTTGTCATCGACTTTATTCCTACATGCTGATACTTCGCGTTGAATTTCTTCTTTCACATCATCTAATTTATCTTCCATTTTGGCCAAGACCGCATCCAATTTCTTCTGCCTTTCATCAAAAATCTCCATAACAATATTTTTCATTTCTCCATGCATTACTTTACACTGCTGTTCATGTTGATTCGAATGGATGTTTGCAACATCGAAAAAGCGCTTTGCATGATCATCAACCTTTCTTTCTATTTTATCAACTCTACCATCATGCTGTTTGAATTCATTTCCCAGGACCTGTAAACACTCCCTGTTGTGTAACACATTTTTTCCAATTGTTGTAACGGTGTCTTTAAACTCACTCATCTCTGTCAATACTGGTTTAAAGCATTTCTCTAACTCATTTCGAACATCTAGTACTGTTGCCATCTTACTATCCCTACCATCAGCTATATCACCAACATCACCTAAACAAATAAAGACATAAAACTAGACATCTTAACCATTTTTTTCATGGAATCGTTTATGCAAATGAACAATCTTATATTTCACCACTGTATGCTTGTTATTTAATTTAAATAGTTGACTTGAGGATTTCAGTATCACACGGTATCTTTGTCTGAGTACGTCGTACAATGTGCTGCTTTGTTTGTAGGCAGCAATCAGTAAAATATATATATAATAAATATCTATCTATAACATCACATGATACAAGTTTAATTTAAAATGCAGCAAAATATTGCCATATTTGTTTGCATTAGAGGGCCTCAGTGAACCAATTTCAAACAAAGTCAAGTGGAAATGTATTGAAATTATCCTGTAAATGTCTAGGAATTATTAGGGGTGCCAGCTTGTGGGTCTTGGAGTCCTATTGTTATCATTCAGATTTTTTTTTCACTTCTAGTTTATCTTTTTCCATCATTTCTTTGTTAAGCGGTTTGAGGAAACCTGCTGAACAGAATGGTCTAAAACTGATGTGAATTGGTGCAACTGATTTTGATTGGTCAAATGGATTGTTAAAACCGGAAAGGTGACCAAATTAGGTGATTAAATATTTATCCAACAAAAAATAATCAGGTCTCTGTATAGTCCTTGAGTATTTATGTACCAAGTTACATTGAAATTTAATGACTACTACTTGAAATATCGAAAGCTGAAAATTAATTAATTATACAAATTAGGTAATTAGCATGTAGTGATATTACCCTAAAAACTATCAGGTCTGTGCAGTGTGCTATGACTATGCACCGAGTTTTATTGAAATGTGATGATTAGTAAGCCGGAAGTTGACTATTCATTATGCAAATTAGGTGATTAATATGCACAAATATTTACCCAAAAACTAATTAGGTCTCTGCATAGTCCATGAGTATCTATGTGCCAAGTTGCATTGAAATGTAATGATTACAACTTAAAATATCAAAACCTGACAATTAATTATGCAAATTAGGTAATTAATATGTACTGATATTACCCTAAAAACAATCAGGTCTGTGCAGTATTTTATTGAAATGTGATGATTACTGAGTACTTGAATATCAGTGGAGCAGATGGACACACACACTCACACACACATTTACAGACACTAACTGCAAAGACTCCATTGTGTGCATGGAAGTCAAAAATACTAAAAATTGGGCAATGATTTGAAATTTGTTTTTAGCATTTATGTAAAATGATCATTAAATTTTAAAGGACATTGCTATCTCTTGAATTTTCGGAAACAATGTTGGCCGTTTGATCAGTCATGTGGTTTGGCCGCCATATTGGATTTTAATCAAAAAAGACATTTGAGGTATTTGTTTTTCATGAGTGTTTTAACCAAGCAGCTTGATATTTTCCATGCATGTTTCGCCAAAGCTTATGGGAACAATGAAATAATATTGATCAGTTACGTTTGTACGCCATATGCTTAACCAATCAAATTGCAACTTGAAAATTAGCAAAAATGTATACCCTAGTTACAAAATATGTATACCCTAGTAACAGCCCTCTGTTAATTTAAACTAGATTAAGTGATTTCATTGGTAGTCAAAAATCATAGATGTTTTATTTTTATAACTTTCTTCACTTGTCTACATTTTGTTAAGAATTAAGACATACCTTCAATATATCCAGACTCATTGAAACATTCAGATGATTCCTTCATTATTGCAATGTATCCACAAAATGCAGTCTATGAGTAAAATGAGCAAAGTTAGATGAACTGTTTACATAAATAACTATATAACTATATGTGTTCTAGCACAGGGAGGCCAGGAACTATAATCAACGGTACGCCAACCATAGAGACTGCGTAGTGTCACGGGATTTCCAATAATAGCCACGTGACCGAAACTTCAAGACCCCCAGACCACCGAAGGCAACAATATCCGAGATAAATAAAACGTGAAACCGAATAGTTGTTGTTCATTAGTAAATGTTGAAATAAATGAATACAATACATATGACTGTAGGTAACCCCCAACATTTCCCGTTGTCCATATACGTACCTTCCGACGTGTCACGATGGGATATTGTTTTTTCAAAATTGTAGTGTAACTGAAAGAAGCTGATACAGTAAATGGGGATTCCCGATTCAAAACAAATACGACACCCCAACTCAGTGAATATTTGTATCATATCGAGAAATTTAATTGTTTTTATACTACAAGATAGCAATATATTATATAGATATATATATATATAGTAATAATATTAAGGTCATTGTCATCGCGATAATACTGTTGTGTTCGTTACGTCTAAGTCCTAAAATCAAAGGCTTGCGGGCGTTACATAATTTCCCCCCAAGTTAAGCAGTTATACGGGGAATCCCCGTACGCAAATTTGATATTCAATGAACCCGTGTCAATTTTCCAGAATGCATTATTATAGTAGTAGCAATTCCATGGTGAGAATGCTACACTATAACTCTGATAGCAATAACAGTTTTTCATAAGTCAGAGTTTTATTTGGTCATAATATTTAGGAGTTTGGGATAATTCTGTAGATTGTAATTCCATGGTACGTGTATACTCTATATAGACGTACATGCTGTTGAGTGGTGGGCACTACTACTGATGAGCTGTAGGTGATTTAACCACATCACAGCCACAAACTACGTTACCAAGCCCCTGCAAAGTATCAATGGATTGAATATATGGATTATTTAAACGTTAAACCATTAGGGATTTGTTCGAGCTTTGGTTTTGATCGATTATATATTTAAATTTGAAAACAGTCAAACAAATTAACAAACACACAACTTTTCAAATTAATAAACAAACACAATTTATCAACGTCTGTGCAGCGGGCCCCTACTACCTCACCCTCCAAACATATTCGGCGAGGCATGAAAGTAACCATACTATCGATGATATATAATAATAATAATTAAAAACATATTTGAATTTTTATACATATACTGTGGATAAATTGAATGTAGCTACATCGCACGTACCGTTTTTAGCTCGTCTGCATAGTATGGACTTAGGTAACATTGATGAGAAATATCCATGGTGCTGTCACATCAACTGCTGCATAAAAATGAAGTGATGAAACAAGTGGGAAATGTAGGGGTGGGGACACACTTTAAGTGCCAGTTGACCTTAAACAAACCTTTCACCATACTCTGAATGCAAACACTTACAATAGTTATATGTAAATGACGTATTGTTATTTGGAGTAACCCCATCCGAATTGGGAATTTCCAGCTACCGTTTGTATTGCATGATGGGAAGATTCGCCCAGACACATACACAACAAAAATATTAATACAAAAGCTGAATGGGGCTAATTAAGGCTAAGGCATCTACATATGCATCTGAACATAGCAGTTGCAAAAAGCTTGTAATTTGTGAAAAGTAGACGCGGATGTCATACTATACGCAAACTATAACTACAAAAAGTCACGAATAATTATAGATGTTGTATATAAGATTCAAACATAAAGACCAAATTGAGTCTTGAAATAAGTTTGTTCACTCAAGTCATCGACCCGATCAGGCAGTGATTACGAATCATTTAAAATCCAGTCCCAGATCTCTTTGAAAATCTAATCGCTCTGATTTCGATTTAATAACGCTCCTACGTTAAAAAATTTAATTCTTCAAAATTTGACAACGTGTAATCATTAAAAAGCATTTTTTCTTTCCATCGCAAGGAAATTCGATTTGAACCACTATTGAAAATGTCATGGGAATTGATATAAAACTTTCTGAATTATAAATATTTATTCACTATTGAAGCAACCAGATCTCTGGCAAAATATAATTGATAAAGTTTTAGTAATAGTTTCCAAATAAATTGGCTCCTAAATTCACGAACTGACCGAATCCAAATTCACATGCAGCTAAAATACAAGGACAAGACATATTTATCATTTTATATTAAACAAAAACAGCAAAGCAAATATTATAATATATTTTTTGGATGATGTATATTCGAGAATTGGCTCCTGAATTCACGAACTGACCGAATCCAAATTCACATGCAACTAAAATACAAGAACATGACATATTTATCAGTTTTTATTAAACAAAACAGCGTAACAAATAAAAAAAAAATTTCAGAATCTGCATATTTTTGCACTTTGTTTACTAGTATTTGAAATCCAAGTTTCCAGCGATGTATGTTACATGACATTAGTGTATATTCATTAGCTACCACAAATGTCATTTAATTACATAATAAACTGAAATATATAGCCTGTACCTTATTACATATTCAGATAATAGTTTCTCTTAACGGTAAAATTTACAAAAAAAAAAATATTTTCATAGGCGTCATGTGCTATGGTCACGTGGGGAAAAGGCAAGTGTAGCTCGACGAGCCCCCAGCCAATCAGAGTGATGCAACGATCGACAAAAACAAACCAGAGTTACGTATATGCGAGAATAAAACGTACTCATTAATTGATGTTCAATATACATATGCAATACAATACAAGAGGGACGTGTGGTTCGCATCTACAGAACATCGATCAATTATAATAATATATTCAAAAATTAATCAAATTACAAGCGCTAAATACACAACTACAAATACACTGAACATTGTGGTAGTTAGCGCAAAATGGTAGGAATAAATGTCATTCGCTTATACGTAAATTACTACAATTCATTGTTCACACTAAAAATAAAGCAGGCTGTAGGACTTAGTATTGTAGAGGCGGCGCATACACAAGTCAGAGT